GTTCAGTATACATTTGAAAAATTAATTAAATAAATATTTATTATTATTCTCTTACATTAAACAAATAAAACACTATTTATCTTTAAAACATTTTTATTTCATTATACTATTTATTTTTAAGTGACTCTAATGTCTTCATCAGAATTTCGGTTTGTAATTTTAAATTAATCATTACTTGGTTGTGCATCTACGAGGCTTCTCCAAAACTACTTGCTTTCTGCAACAAATAAGAGAATATTAATTTAAGCTCTGTCCATGCAAAACTTAAATTTTTTTATAATTCATATTATAAATTTTTTAACACATTTATATTAATATAATTATATAAATGTGTTAATAATATAATTTGTAGCACATGCTACAGACCTGGATAGCAACTTTCTTTTATTCTATTTAGAGATAGAGATAATTTAAATATAATACCGGTGTCTTCCTTGTAGGTTTCTTTGGAGTTGTTTGGGGATTCTTGTTGTTCAGTTCGACATGATTTTCTTTAACCTTTCTTTAATCCTACAAAATAATGAAATTGTTAAGTTATGTTGTCACTGTTGTGCACACCTTTGTTTGGCTTTTTTAGTATTCAAGTTATGTCAAAACTGATTTATTACCTTGTCATTGTTGGCTTTATTTGCTTTTGGGATATCAATTGTTTCCAAAATGATTTTATTTGTAATAACCTGAAATATATAAATAACATCTATTAATTTAAGTATCATGGTGAGTGGTTCGCACTCAGGTATTAAGGTGTATTATACCCACTGTCCATTATAAGTGGGAATGGGCTCACTTCTGGCAGGACAGAGTTTCGGTACTACAAGTGCAACATGGATGTTTTGAGGTATTACAATATCTCTAACTACCCTGTAGGGGAATAAAGTAATGTTGTAAGCATATGCCTATGCTTGAAAGGTTGAACCTTGAACATCACCATACATCATATTTATAATTAACATTCCTACCTCGACACCATCACAATCAAATTCATTGAAATCTACTTCAAACCATTGTGTCTCGAGAAGGTGATGGTGGCTTTGTTCCACCTCCAGTTTTTGATGTTTCACGGCGATAAGATGACAACTCTTTTTTTGTATTCAATTTAGTGCACTTCCACTGATTCATCAATTGTTTTTTGTCTCTTGTCCTTATATTTGCTAGATTAAATCTGATGTTTTGATTAAATAATGTGGTCATTTTTTTGAGATGCAGGTACTTATTAAAATGTTTACTTCTCTATTATATCGCTCCAAGCCTTCATTTTCTCCTTATTAGTATTCGTGCTTAAATCTTTGTTCTCAATTATTGATATATAGGGTCGTAGAATATTTCTAAAAAGTTGCTGTAACAAACGCAATAAACAAAAGCAATGAATAATGGTTCATGTTTCAGTTTTAATCAACAATAATACTCGATAATACATACGGATAGTTAACCTCAATTGTATTGAAGCACTCAGGAAGGTTAGCACAGTTTTTTCACAAATATTTTATATTATTTCACAAATATTTTGTATAATGAAAATAACTAGGTATATAATTATTAATTTTAAACAATAATTAAAACTCCTATATTTGTTTAAAAGGTAAATGTCATTGTCAGATGTCAATTGTCATGGTCATTCAAAATTCTTGTTAAGCTGCTAAGCTAGAATATGCGTGAAGTTAGCTTCACGCATATTCTATTTCTTTTTACTTGTAGTTTGTCCTATTCCCATCTCGCTCGCGCACGCTATATCACACTGCCAATTTTGTGTCATAGGTGCGCGCGCAATCGTAAAATTTCACTCTCATCAATTTTTCATAACGCGCCTAAAGAAGTACAAGGTAAAAAATAGCGTACAAGTTAATTTAAATCTAATTTTAGTTTAAGCAATAGAAAGGAGAAAAATCTTGTTACGCTAATTGTTTTGAGCAGTATATATATAGAAAATATTTATTTTTAATTTCTTAATCATTCAATTTTGTAACCGTTGTTAGTTTTAGAGATTGTATGCATTGATTAGTGTTCTGATTTAGTGTCTGTGTCTGCAATGTTTATTGTTTTAAATATAGTTTTCTAAGCAATGTTAACCTATCATTTTCTTTAATGCAAGAATCTTGTTATTGTTGAGACTTCATTTATTTGAATAACACTGGGAAGGTTGATTATATCAAATTGAATATTAAAATGACTTACTACATAAACATTTTTGTTTCTTTTAGGTAGCTAGCTATATAGAAAAAAAAGTACCTCATACACGACAATTAACCTATAATTCGCTCCTTTAGAAACAATATCTGAAGTAATTAAACGGTTTTAAATATTTCATGATTCAGTATTATTATTATATCTGACAAAAATCCTTATTTTTGAAGTGAAACTTCTTTAGGCGCATGAGGGTAAAATTTTATGGAAGGTCACGAGGATGTGAAGCGTTTTTGTCGAAGAAAAGGGAGAGAGCGATTGAGACCGATTGAGAGAGAGAGTGAGAAGGGTGATATACCTTATAGAAATTCTATTTTTAAAATTAAAATTTTGTAAAGAGAATTTATGAAATATTAGTATCTTACATTTTATGCAAAATAATTTATTGAAATGTCAAATGACGAATTGTAAATTGAAATGTCAAATGACGAATTGTAAATTGAAATGCCACGTGTTTTTTTTATCGAAGAAATAAATTAAAAAAAATATTATTTGTATTCTATTTCGACACTTAATATTTTAATGACAATTAAATTCCTAACATACCTTCCTTTTTCCTTCCCTCTAAGTCACGGAAATCTAAAGTTTTAGGTTTGTATAAATATGAACAAGAGTTAAAAATTAGTTTGCCAAAGTAGTTTCACTTCTGCCTTGCGATTCTGTAACTCACTTTTCGAACTCACACAGCGGTTTTCACAGCGGCAGTCGCACTCAAATCAGTTGTAAAGCAGTCATTTTACGATTTGGCATTCTGATAAACAATAAACTCCCTCCTTATCAGAATGCCTCCTTATCGCAAGGCTGGCATGTGTACTTTGTACGCACGCACTTTTTCTTACATTGGCAATCCATATTCAGAATATTCATTTGTTAAATTCTAAGCTTCGAATAAAAACTGTACCTGGATATTTTACCCACTTTCAAAAATGAGTTCTAAACTAATGGTGTGTTACGAGTGTATATTTTTGTAAAGGTAAAATTAATATTTAAAGTACGCGCAAGTTTCGCTCTTAAATTGTCAGTATTGAATTATCATTTTACATGGTGATGAGTTGTGTTAGCCTAAGGGTTTCCCTGGGACGAATGCCTTGGAGAACCCCGAGGCCCATCTTAGCGTGCGGATTACTAATTTGTTTTAGTGAGTAGGACTTCGCTACACCTCTGACTAGCAAAGGGACTGACTTTAGTCCCAGCCTCACATAGCACGTGTCGAATTCGATTTCCTTCGCACCAGGAGCGAACTGCGAGAACGCATTTTCACATAAAAAATGGTAATTGTAGGTACGATTTTCAAGTTTCAGTGCATAACGCATTCGAACATCACAAGACGGTATTGGATCTGTCCCTTCATTTCATTAAGACACCTTAGGAGACAGTCTTACATAATAGAAATTAACCATACAAAAAAAAATATTAAAAAAAAACTATTTCCTACAGCGATATTTTAAAGAAATCTATATTAACTCTTCAGCACATATTTCATAAAATTTATAATATACAGGTCGAGGCCAATTTAAAAGCGGAATTGAAGGTGAAAATCGTAATTTATATTAAGGTAGGTCAAGACTCTTGTTTCCCCCAAGTTACAGTACAAATCATTGCGTTTGAACTAAGACACTATCTTGATTACAGAATAGAGTTATAGTAATATTGTTAGCGTTGCTATCTCCAAATGAACTACGAACTTCCTAACTACCTTGTTACACAATGACTTACGGACAATTTGTGATGTTCGGCAAGTTTAGATTTGCCTCGAGTCAATGACGTAGTCCTATTCGATAGATACAAAAAGTATTAATCATGTAGGTTGTAAATTACGCGACACAGGCATTCCTATTATAAAACTATATATTTATTATATATTTCATGAACCGCAATTAACACAATTATACAAGAAGCTTACTATATAGTCGGTTTTAAGGAAAAACAATAATTACAAAATAGAAAAGTCGGTAAATTTGTCGAGTCATGGCTCCACCTTAAAACCGCTCCAAATTTTTTTCTACATATTTTTATCACGCATTGGTGTACCATGCAATAATGTGGCTGCGCATGCTCTTTAACCCCATAGAAATTACTTAAAATATTATGAATTGTGAAATGAATGAAAGAATGTACAAATTTTTGGCTTTAACCTAACCTGACCACAAGCGGGGTTTAGCGGATTTTTAAGGGGTCCGACAGCTATGCGCCTCCTTAATATTACTTTGGGTACTTACTACATAAAAGTCGTAAAGAACGATAGAAAAAAAATGGACTTGTTTAAATGTGGAGCCGTGATTCGACACATTTACCGAAAGTCAAAACAGTTACTTTGTAACCTTCACGATTCCACAATTTTTTGGTGTTTTAAAGGTTTGTTTGCGATGTTGTCTTCTACTAGGACCTAATATTACGTATGATTAATGTTATATTTATTAAATGGATGAAACTCGAAAATAAGTCTTAAATCAGTACTAAATACATATAAAAGCTATCCCGCGTATTTACGCGAGACGTGGATATAGCGGGGAACTGACTGACTGAAATTATGTACTATAAATTGCTTTAAATAAAAATAATACTCTAACATACACTAAATAGTATTGAATAACAATATTTCCTATACATATATGATATAACTTATAAGGAGAATATATCCAATGGGTAGATATATAGAACGTGTATTTGCAACGATAAAAACCTTTTCTATGGAGCCTAAACTGAAAATCTAAATCGTTTGATACCTCAACTATTTAGATCGGTTAATTCTATACAAACGGATTTTTTGAAGTCAATTATTAACTATGCTAATTTTTTCAAAATATGTATAATTTCAGCGCTCCCAACGTCGATACCAGTTCTCAAAGCAGATAAGGACCGCTACCAACCTGGAGAAACTTTGCGAGCAAACTGTACCTCACCACCTGCTAGACCTTCTGCAAACCTTACTGTATATGTCAATGAGGAAGCGGTTAGTATAATTAAACTAATATTTACCATAAATGGTATTGTTATAAAATAAATACAGTGAATAAATCTAACCTACATTTTAGATTTAATTTTTACTATGTTTCTTTTTATCTCTTATTAGCTCTATAAAAGACTGGCCATATGTAGAAAATATATAAGTACCTACATAAGCTCGGGCGTTGACAGTGTAGCTCTCATCGCCCAATGCGACAAAAATGTTCGAATCATACGAGGTTATCGGGAAATCAGGTGCTGGACCAGTTTCATAAAGTCAAGGCCCAGTGTTTAAACACTGCCAACTCTTACTGAGTGATAATAATTTTTGCAACCCCACTTGGGTCTTCTGGAAAAGTACCAACGCTTAAATGAAACAAGCAGTCGCCTTATTGTTAAAATATATCTGATTAATTTTATTTATTTGTGGTTTATTTAAAAACACTTTTTCCAGGTTCGAGCAACAGAAACGAGCCTTCATTCATCAGATATCGGCCTATTCACAACGAAAGTGAATATAGAGCAAAAGATCACCCCGGATTTGTTCCCTGGGGGAAGGCTGAGGCTAGCATGCTATGCTACTTTATACAACGTTTATAATAAGTCTGCCAAGCTGGACTTTCTAACACCGGAGACCGATCCGAGGCCAGAAAGAAGTAAGATGACGGAAATTTAATTGCATTTGTTATACAAAATCTTTGTGTATTGTTATACTTTTGTAATAATAGCCTTTATCTTAATACCTATTAAAAACAATATAATGTATTTAAGATTTGATCTTAGTCTTGAACAATGTTCAATTTCTGTACTTCAAACAAATTGTGTCTACACTTCTTCTTGACTTTGAAATTTATACCACGAAACATAAAATATAGGGATTTTTTATATTTTCATTTTATATATTTATAACATACAGCTTAGTGTAATATTGCGTTATGTGCGTACAAAAAGGTGGGATTTTGATATAAGGGAGTTGTGGGTTTTCAGTTCACAGCAGTGCTTAAATTTACTGTAATCTGGACTTCACTTATAACAGTATAGTTTGATAGATCTTGGTACTATAAAAAAATTAAAACTCTATCATTTTAATGAATAAATGAAATTACCTATGCGTCATTATATTTGTTCTTATAAGAGCCACAACCCGTAAGGCACTTTCTGCACAGACTCTAAATAAAATAAAGAGTCTAATAAAAGGTATTTTATATTAATTATTTGCTCTAATTAAGTAAGAAGCTTAGCAAATTTATAAAGTAGTATTATAATAAATAAATCTTCCTTGAAAAATGATAAGAATTCACATTCATAGTGTAAGCATTCGATCAAAGGTCTTTTATTAATCGTAATTTTATGTGTTGTACAATATATGGGACCCCATTTTCGTGGGGTCGAACTGAGAATTAAACCATTATTTTGGTACACGTTGATTATGTTAGTTCGCCTAAGTCGACATAGATGGCGCTGAAATTAAATTAAAGTATTGCAATTTGAAAAATTATGAAATCTGGGAATTATTATGAATATTACTATTTTACTTTAGGCAAATGCTACTTAAATCTTGAATTTCACATTGTATTGTATTTTTGTAACTCTTCAATTGCATGAGGGAGACGCATTTCTTTTTCGTTTTTGTAACAAGTCAACCGATAGAAAAAGTTACAAATACTTACATGATAAGTTTTTTCATCGTATGATTAAAATAATATTAATTCATATCCATATCCTTCACTTTACTTAATTCAATATTATAAATACATATTTATTAATAAATATTTTATGTTTCAGTAACGCTCAACGGTGGTGCATCGACGACGTTCTTAAATTGGTTTCTACTCATCTTGCTCTTTTTTCTTCCAATGGTAATGGCGGAGGACTACGATTCGTCGTATTATGAGGACTTTGATGTTAATCGAGACGATGCCATTGTATCTTTACTTGGGATATAAATATATAACTTATTATTTACGATATTATCACTTTACAGATTTAATGCGTTAAATTATCACATTTTTTTTTTAAATACCCGATTTTTTTTACACAATATAAGGCGAAATAGGGTAATTTTTACATAAATTCAGTTACACTGTGGCCTAAGAATCTTGGCCTCAAAGAACTTAATTATCGCTTATGTCGGTGAAATACCACACACATATAAATAATACTGTATACTGTATAATAGTTACTACATGTGATCTATGCTAATCTTGAGGACAAAGCTCGAGTATAATGAGTTAATATATCGGTATAGAGTATGAATTTACAAATGACACCGACGAAATTCGAATGTACGGCCTCAGTGTAAAAGATAATAGTGTGCAAAAATAACATCAATTTAATTTGTGATAATTAAACGCAATAATATACTGCAATCGCTTAAAGTTGATGATTGGAATTTTTGACAGAATCTGCTATTTATTATTATTATTTTATTTTTTTAATTATTGTCTTCTTTTATCAAAAATAAACACATTGTATCGTACCTATATTAATTGAACGTTTTAAATTAGTTTGCGTAGTATAGTGGCTGACAAACAGTATATGTTAACGTGATCCGGCTGCAATATTGCTAAGATTTCTTGACAACGAAATTGTATAATACATATTTCTGTGTTCTCGCCAACGTACCTGAAGAGTTAGCGCTTCGTACGTCATGCGAAGATAGTAGACAAATAATACTCTAAATGGGTCAGAAAAAATTGCATCTCTTCAATCATTTTTATTTAATAGAAAAAATAAGTGATAAGCTTTCTGTTTCTGACACATGTCACCGATTTTTGGGTTTGAGAAGCAAATGCTAATTGAGCACATATATACGTGATTCGAATTAACAACCTCAGGGTTGAGGGTCTCACGCTAAGCCTCAAGTCCATAATAGAGCGAAGAATTTGCCATTCATATATAAAATTAAATGGTAATATTTAGAAACGTTCCCGTATGTGTAAATCCAATGCAGTATCGACATACCATAGTCAAACTTAGGTTATCTTAACGGAATTTGAGGGTCGTACATTTCAATTAAAGTAAATTAAAAAAAAAACATAATTAAATCTATGTTTAATTTTTTTTAAAGAACAGGGGCAAAAGGGGCGTAAGCTCATCTGATGTTAAGTGATACTGCCCATGGACACTCAATGTCAGTGGGGTCGCGAGAGCATTCCGGCCTTTTAAGAATTAGTATGCTCATTAATTGAAGGACCATGTGTTAAAATGTGTCCGTTCTGTCTCCAATTGAGAGGTTATGGAACTGCACAAAAGAGTGTTTGTTTACTTACATATTATTTCGTACGCATTATGTAAATTGTTTTTAAAAACCTTCAAAATAAAGTCACGTTTTGTCTAAAATAAATTAATAAATTTAATGTATGCATTGTAAAAAAATTAGTTTGACTCGTATCTATGGCGTTTATAGAACATCCTTAATTCCCCCAATTTCCCATTTGCGGAGGTTTCGGTTTCGAACAGTTGATTTTATATAAGACCGGGATAGTCCCGTGGGATGAACAACCTGACGCGTCTGACGTAGGTATATGCCTAATTGATGTATTGACTTTTAACTATAAATATTGTGTACTGATCGCATATATCTTTAATTTAATTATTTAATTTACCTTTTCATCAAATAACTTTTCGTCTAATGAAATAATTGAATTTTGACCACGAACTAACTCGTACTTAAACTTGTCTTTAAGAGTAATATTCTGACTCGAGAGCAAAAACTACAAATAAATCAGCCGTACACAGAGTCCTCTATTAAACTATATTTAATGGTACATGTCTCATGAACAGTGAAACTCAAATAGGTATAAAATTACAGTTCCGTGTTTTCTCTTTGTTTTTTGAAAAATGTGTAACGGCCGACTACGTCTCTTCTAATAATGGGATTCCAAAGGCTGCTGTAGTTTTCTTTTATGTATGTTGGCTACGTCCACAGGTCGCTCTCTATTACATATAAAAAAGTTATAATTATCTTATGCACTGAGTTATTGGAGAACAATTAATATTACTAAAGTGTCAAAGCCTTACGCCGTAATTTCTAAGTTTACGTTTAGAGATGACTGATTTTTAAATAACTCAAAATGTTTTTTTTTTATACTGTGTAATGATTCTTAATTTAAAATATTGTACATATTTTGTAAATACAGCGTATAAGTTAATAACAATTAAAGATTTGCCTTTTGCAGTAAGAATACATTGGTACTAAGGTACAGTAATTTTCGTAAATAATATAAATCTTAAAATGAGTCTACTATTAATGTCGGAAGTTCGAAAAGCTACCAGACTTAATAAAAAAGGTTTTTAATAATTTACACAAAGGGCATATCTAATTGGAAAAATCATACAAAATACTTGCTTCAAACTCGAAATAATTTTAAAATAATGTCGTAAAAATTGTTAAGCTCTTTAAATAAGGAATTTTATTATTTGATACGGTTATGTAGCATAGCTATCATTATTTTTTTTAATTCTTTTTGTTAATTAAAATTTTATAATACTTTTAAAGTTGGATGTTTTTAACTACAAGGGATGATGACGTACGAAATTGAGCGATGTACATTGCGTACGTAAAACATTTAAATTATGGCATATACTTTTCAGCAGTATAATTACTCGGAAGGGATTTTTGGTTGCAGGGCTATTCTGTAAAAATGATTGACGATTTAAAATGATTGCCTTGTATACACTTAAAGGGCGGAAATCCATAACTTATTATATCTAACGAACCAAAATTCGTAATTCTAGTATCTTACTGTAATCCGTAGATGTCGCACATCTCTAATAACGGAATTAGTAGTACGAAAATGTTGGTCTCGTGGCTTCAGCATGCGACTCTCATCCCTGAGGTCGTAGGTTCAATCCCCGGATCTACACCAATGGACTTTCTTTCTATGTGCGCATTTAACATTCGCTCGAACGGTGAAGGAAAACATCGTAAGGAAACCTGTCTTAGACCCAAAAAGTCGTCGGCGTGTGACAGGCACTGGAGGCTGATCACCTACTTGCCTATTAGATTTAAAAATGATCATGAAACAGATTCAGAAATCTGAGGCCCAGACCTAAAAAAGGTGTAGCGCCATGATTTATTTATTTTAGTAGTACAAAACTATTGAATTCTTTATTTATAGAGTAGGCCTGGTACGAGAAGAGTTCTCTTAGGTTCGTCATCATCCCTTTGTCGAAACAAAAATATTAAATCTCTAATTTTGTTGGTATTAAATTTTATCTGCCGGGTCAGCTGTATGCATTAAATTAACAAACTTAGGTTCTGGGTTTGTTTTCCTGATAAATAATAATTCGTATGTTTCGTATCTCTAGAAATAAGTTCCAACGACTCACTGCTTATGTCACTGCCTAATGCCCCTGGTTAAGTGCGTTGCATCTTGTTAGGATTTAGTCAAAAAAAAAACATGGCGATTAAAAAGAGTGGCGGAGAGTTTATTGCCAGTTCTTCTCTTCCGTTCTACGCCCTTGATTTGAGAACTGGCACTAAATGTAAAGTTTACATCTCTTTTTTTTTTGATCATATTGTGTTACCTATAATATGATTAAATGATTTTTGAATTTGAATATATCAAAATTTGCGTACAGTTCCTTGGGTCAAATGACGTCCCTCTCAAGTATATTATTATTATAGTATTCTTTACTGTGGATTTTAATATACTATTACTCGTAGTGTGTGTCTTGCATTTGTTGTCATATACGAGTATTAAGAATATATGGATTTTTAAAAGCTATGATTATATTAGTACGTACTTATTGTAGAACCTATTAACATTCTATAGTGAACAATAAAAGCTGCTTGTAGAATATAAGTTAACTATATTTTTGTCGTGACCGTCGGGTTGGCTGACCAAATTTGATATCGCAATCAAACTATACGCCATATTTCTCTACCTATTTGCTACCTTCAAAGACGCATTTGCTACCTCTGCATTAAAGAACATAATAAAGAAATAAAGTGGCCAGCCATTCTGACGTCAGGTTGGCTTACCACTATCATTTAATTGGGTTCTAAGAATCTTTGAGTAATAGCGTTTTTATACATATTCACTACGTAATTTCTACCAGAGCCAACATATTTGGTCGGCCAACCTGACGTTCCAATTTTTTTCAAAGATTCGAGAATTCTCAATGTTTATATCTGTTGCAACTTGTAATGCTGTCATCATAGCGCTGTAGTATTAAAAACCGTGCGTAATAAAAATGAATGACACTTGACAACTCCGTCAACGAAGCCTTAATGACATCATTAGGTTAGGAATCGATAAATTGGGAACTTTAATGGCGTCATATGAGCTTATAAAAACGTATTACATATTTGGGTAGTAGTTGTTTCTATTCCTTCAATGTATGAATGTCAATGTTTCACGATCATTTGAAAAATGTGTTTATTTTATAAATAGCATCACGCAAAGCGAAAAAATATGTTATCTGTGATTTTGATATGTAGCTTTTGACTTATTTTTTTTTAAAACGTTTAATTTTTGCTTATTACTGACTAAGATGCAACGTAGCTTACACTCAGTATATATTTATGATTTGCACGAATCTTTTATATATGGCAATTTTATATGGATTTTTTATTGAATAAGGAATTCAACTTTATTACTAAGAAATCGAATTGTAAATATATTAAGTGCAAATAAATAAAATTGACACGAAAATTTGTTTTATTTTATACGATTTCTTAATTTAATTTAAATATAATTTTATATAGAAAGAAGTTTTATTGAAATTTCTAGTAAAATGAGATGGATGATAAATGGGTATATATTCAAATGGAAAGTTGTGGAGGAGGCCTTTATCCTTCTACTAAATACTGAAAGACAAAACAATAGATAACTTTTAATAAAATTGTACAGTTTTTATTGTATTTAGTATTCTCAGTAAAAAAGGCATGATTGCAATTGCATTGGCGAAAATTGCATTATTGTATAAGTATTGTGTA